CCAACCTACGGCGGAGAGTATATTCCACCTACACCGGACGCCCCCGACAACCTGGGTAACTACATACTTTCTTATCCCGGCGTCGCCTTTACATTCCGACTCGCCGAATCTGCATATTCTCCCACCAAGGACGTTGTGTCCTTGCTGTCTTCCGCTACCAGCCAAGTGGCCACATCCATGGCCGTGTTCAGTGGAGATTCATGGGCGCAAGCGCGAGAGGCACTCTGGACGGAGATCCTGCCCAGTGTCAAGACAGTTCCCGTGCTCCCGAGGGGCAAGGACGTTGTCCCCGACGAGATCTCTCTGGTCAAGATTCATGGGGGCGGCAAGCTCCAGCTGTTCCGTAAGTGGTCCAACTCGTCAATCTGGATCATCCTGGGAGAGACTAGTCCTCAGGAACTGATCGCAGAGCTTGGCCCACCCAACGCCACATATCGGAAGAACGACCAGAGAATGACAATACACAAGCTTCGGACGGCAAGCCATAGCCGCGCTCGGTCGAACGGTGCTGACCTGAGCCGTCCAGACGACTTGACGGATACCGACCAGTCGTCTGCGAACACAGGCTCAGATGATGATAACGACGAGGCTGTCGAGGAAGACATTGCTGGCAATGTTTCTGGAGAATGTTTCTACAATTACTTTTATTTGGGCTTTGACGTTCTGGTCTCAACGCCGTCTCCGCCGTCACGACCGCCGCCTGCCCAAAATGAGTCTCAGGTGCCGCCTAGCAAGCCCATCAAGTCAGAGTCTCCTGATCGGCTGGTTGCGACCAAGTTGGTTCTCCACGGCAATGTGCCTGGCTCATACGAGTTCAACCGTCACCGTAGATGCCGCTGGGAAGTTAGCTACCTAGATGATGGTTCGCCGGGTGCATCGGCAAACTCAGAGACCAAGTTCACCGAGATCAAAGATAGACTGAACGAACGGTGGAGCAGCGCATATCCTGACGGAGACTCAAAGGCTCCCCAAAGAGGCATGGTCCTCAATAGGGGATGGGGGGATAGTCCCGGCAGCAGTTGCGAGTTTCTTGGGGGATGGGAGGACAGCGGCGCCAAGAGACTGGATGGTACAGACGATTCAACCACTACTCTATTTGGATTCCCAGGCCTCGTGTTTGAGGTGCTGAAGAACGATCATGTTAATACGGTCACAGTGTTTTAGGGTTTGAATGGGGCATTAAACCTGGGGTCAGGTGTTATGGTGGTTGTGTGGTTGTACTGCTGCTTCCATTGAGCCAAGCTGTTGGCCAGGGAGACGAGGCTTTGTGTTGGCTACGATATCCCTACATGCAAGATGGGGTTATGCTCAAATCCAGATGCCTCTTTAGACACCACCTCCGTTTAGCCTCGTTCTTTGGAGTGCCCGCCAACTCAACATGGAACAGCCATGACGTGTCGGCCAACAGATATCCCATTGGCAAGGCTTCTTCCCCATCCACTTGCAATATTCCATCTGATTTTGCATTTCATGCAAGACAGACATGGGATATTTCAGCTTTGTCCTCGCTTGACTTATCGGTCTGACTCGGCCTACGTTTCGGGAGTCAAGGGCATTGCCACAAGCACCTACCATGTTGTAAAGCTCCAGCAGCTCCGAACAGGCCGTCCATATTCAACAGCTAACAGCTTCCAGACCCGGCGCCAAAAACAATAAATAATACAGGTCGAAGCCTGTTCAATCACAATCGTTTTTCATCACAGCAGCATAGAACAGTACATCCTTTCGAAGAATACCCAGAGATACCCCCAAGAGATACCCATCCGCATCCCCCAACCCCACAACCGACAAAATGAAGGCACCTCCAGCAGCTCAGAACGCCAAGCAGAACGCGCTGGCGCTTAAGAGATACCTGCCCCGAAAGCTCCGAGAGGCGGCCGAGGACGAAGCCGAGGTGGAGAAGGGCATCGGGCATGACCTGATCATCTACAGCTTCGACCGCCCCAACGGGCAGTACGGCTACACGCCCTTCACGATTCAGCTGCGCATGCGCCTGCGCCACGGCGGCGTCCAGCACAAGGACCGCGCCGCCAACTTCTTCCAGGCCCCCAAGCAGCGCGTCCCGTACGTCAAGCTCGCTGACTCCGACGAGCTCGTCGGCGAGGCCCAGTTCGTCATCCAGCGCCTGGTGCAGACTGGCAGGCTTCCGGACCTCAACAAGGACCTCTCCGCGGCTGATAAGGCTAAGGATGTTTGCATCCGCGCCATGTTGGAGGATCGTGCCTACTTCCTTGTTGTAAGTGGCTTCGCTGGACGAGAGAGTATACACATGAAGGGTGAATGCTGATGAGGACTGCAGCTCTACGAGAGATGGCGCGGCCAGTATGAGCAGATGTGGCACGACGGCCCCTTTGCCCACTTCGTCTGGGGCGCGAGACACATCTCGCACCAGATGGCGCGCGGCTACGTCAACTCCCAGCTTTACCTGCAGGGCGTCGGCCGCTACACCGACGACGAGGTCAAGACCTTCGCCACGGACGTCGTCACCTCTCTCAACGGCTTCTGCGAGACGGCGCTCTCCAAGCTGTCGCTCGACTCCCGCGAGTCCCGCGAGCCCTTCTGGATCCTGGGCGGCCAGAGACCTACCGAGGCTGACTTTGTTGCTTACGGCAACCTGGCGACGGTTCTGGGAACCTCTGTGTAAGTTTTCCAATGCGCCTGCACAGGGACATCAGATGGCATAAGAATCAGAAGTAGCTAACACGCCTGGCGCAGCAACCCGGTCCACGCGGCTCTGATCCGCGAGAAGCCCGCCTTGGTCGAGTACATTGGACGGATCCACGAGCGTTACTTCTCCGAGTACAAGTCCCCTGTTCACTCTTGAAGTAATGGTAGTTTGGTTAGGGTGAGATACCCCGATACCCCCCCAGGACACCCCTAGGACAAGAGGAAAGGTCCGCCGTGTCGCGCGCGCGCCTGCTATTTGGTCGAATTTTCCATATCATATCAAAGTCCTTCGTTGAGAGAGAGAGAGAAGTAGGGGGTCCCGAGGAACACGGTTATGGGCTCTTGGCTGGTTTTCTTTGTGTATTTGGTGTGCTTTCAAACCGTGCTCTCACAATGGAAAAAGAAGAGGGAAGACGTGATTGTGCTTTGTATTCCGGGAAACCGATATTTGGAAAATGTGGAAAACGGTTTTCCCCGACAGTTAGGAGCAGGATACTGATGCCTAACTGGAGTCTTTCTGGTCTTCCTAGAGCTTAATTACCCGGTTCGCCAATACTATTGCTGTTTTTTTTTCATAATTCACGTGTCTGAAATGAAAGGTGCATTATGCGAAGCTGATCGGTGGAACATGTGAGGCGGTATGTTCGATATTGCATGAACGAGGCTGCTAGCTCTTCGCAGCAATAGCGGGGGAGCGGCAACATCTGAACGAACACCCAATGAGGGGTTCGCCAAGCGGTCATGGCAGATGTCGCAGCAAACCGGGGAGACCCTTTGAGATGGGATGCAATGGGCGGTCTGATCCGTCCTCCTCCGTTTAGCGCGGATCGGGTGCCCCGCCATTTTTATTCTTGCTGCGTTAGCGCGGTCGAGTAAAACCGGTTAGAAGTTGGTTGGAACTGGACCCCTCAAAGGAAGAGCACGAGGATGCAGTTGTGATGGGGAACAAAGGAGCAGGGCTGCTGCTGCTGCACAACATGCTTTTCCGCAGCTCGCTTGCGCTTGATGATCGGGGTGCCAGTGGCTCCAGCTGGCAGCTGCCGTCTGTTGTTTGGCGCCCCTGTATGTAGCTAAGGTACCTAGGGTCGGTGTCTGGAATGATAATATTCCGTTCCGACACGGTACCGAAAACTGGACCTACCTACCTAACTAAGCATCGTGACCTGCCTCGTTGAAGTCGGAGCTGCATCTGAAGCGAGGCGCGGGCATGGATATGCTCTCCCCCTATTTTCGTTGCAAATTCTTCGGCAATCGCTTGTATCGACATGACCTTCGACAAGGGTTTATAGACGCACAGGAGCGAAAGGGGGCATCGAATGTCTGGCCCTGGCATTACTCCTCATGGCCTGTCTCAGCCACCATCATGAGTGACAATGCTGTATCACTGGAAGGCTCCAGAAATGTGTGATATACTCTGTAATTTCAGATCAATTTCACCGCGTGAAAAGGACATTCATGCTGATGAGAGGCTTGTGAGCAGCTGAGGTGCCATAGGTCTGTCAGGTCCAGTGTTTCCTCCGGAGTAACAGGATTATCCGCGCCGGCGAATGCCGAAAAAACGGTGGATACGCGGTGTGGAGCCGAGTTGCAGCGGGTGGGGAAGAAGCGGTAGGCGAGAAGGCAATTTTAGCGCGACCTGGGTGCTCTGTTGCTTGGTACTTGGTGCTTGGTGCGACGCCACGGCAGAGCTAGCTGCCAAGTACCAACTGGAGAAGGACAAGAGGGAGCTTCTCTGGAGTCTGGTTTGCGGCTTGCCTGTCACTGTTCCCTGCCCTTGCTGTTCCGGTCGCGCTGCATGGCCACTTGTGTACCTCACTGGCCAGGTCTTTTCCCGTTGCTGCTGCTACTCCAACAACCTGAAGTCTTCTTGGTCACTGGTCTGGCGCTGCTGCCGTTGCCCAACGATTTCTAGTCAACGATTCCTAGTCAACCGGTTCCCCAAGATCGACACCAACCTATGCTCAGCTGGCACATGTCAATGCCCTGTTTCGGCTCGGACGAATCAGCGCCTCTCTTCGCCAAAAACTTCGTCACCTTCGTCCCTTCACATGGGATACCTGCCTTTCTAGACTCGTCTTTGCATCTGCGCACCGTCGCCTGTGCCCCCCCTTGCGTCGACGTCAACCGGACTGCAATGGCCGCTGTGGCCTGTTAACATCCTCCTTTTCGTAACCACCGACGCTCGTTGGCGACACGACACCGACACCAGAAACACCACACGAGCAGCGCACCGACCGACGACGATACCAAAAACCACGAGACCGATTTGAGAAACTCCACCACCGAACACCCTTTTCCCCAACGACGGCGGCCATGCGAGCAACCTCGCCGCAATGACGGAGAAGGATGCCGCCCAGCAGCGTGCCGTCTTCACGAGGAAGCTGAGCCCGCACTCGATGCCTGGGGATAGGGGAAGCAGCAGGGGTAGCTACGAGACGGGCGAGTCGAGCGCGACGGGGAGCCTCCTCAACGACACCACGCTCCTGCCTTCACCCGACGAGTCGAGCGGTCGCCGCCCAACATCCAACTCTTCGGCACCGAGAGACGCTGAATTTACGACCGGATATGCTGCGAGGGACGTGAAGAAGCAGAGGGCGCCTAGGCATCGCTCCAACGGCGGGTTCCTGCTGCAGGATGCCATTCGCAACGATGACGACTCCGATGGGGACCAAGGGGTCCGCCGGCGACATTCACGCAACCCACCGACCAGCCGCAGAGCAAAAGAGTCTGGGAGAGCGTCCGACAGATCAGGTTCTGGCGCTGGCCGCGACGCCGGCCTGACGTTTACCGAGATGGACACCTCGCCGCGACGGAACGGCGATATTTCACCCACGCAGCCGACACATAATTTGACCGTCAGGAAACGGGATGCGGTGAACAGTAGACCGCTCAGCGGATCGAGCTATACCCCGCCCTCGACCAGCCACTCGCTCGACATCGATTCCACGCAGATCGTGAACATGGCTCTTAACTTGAGCGAGTCGCGGCGGCAGGCGTCGCGAAGGATCGCATCCCAGGCGGTGCCCACTCTGGCGCAGCTCCCGGACGCTACCGGTCCGAACCTGAAGAACCACTACCAACAACAACGAAGAATATCGCGGACGAGGTCGCCGGGCCCGGATAAGGCTTTAACGCCCAGGTTGCCGTCGGCCGGCGTGCTTCACAGCCCTCTGCAGGCCTCTTTTGACATGAGCCGCGAGGGCACTTTCCGAAACCACTTTACTCCGTCGACTCTTGCTAGGGCGCAGAAGGCGAAGGAACATCTCGAACTTATGGCGCAGTATAGGCGCTTGTTGGAGCTGGTACCGCCGATCCAGCCACAAACCTCGAGCCGTCCGACGACGGCTAGCCCGCCAACATCTTCAGGGGGTATCGCCAAGACTCCGACATATGGCAGCTCCGACGGGAGCGTACGGCTAGGCCGACAATATAACCCCTTACAATACATTCGAAATAGAAAGGTTCGGGCGCGGGAACGCAAGGCCATTGACGGAGAGGTCCAGGGATTTGGGGATACCATCAAGGTCGACAACTGGATTGATGACGTGGCCAAGTGGGCTGCCACGGGCCAGACGAATGCGGACGGTTGCACGCTGCCCCCTTTCCCAGATGCTGATGCGCGAGAGAATGCCTTGCAGCTTGCTGCAAATGCCAACAAACCGAGGCGACCAAGGCTGGACTGGTTCGTTGACCCGGCAGATCTTCTTGCTGACGCATACTGGCTGGAGCAAGATCATCACAAGCAACTGATTGAAGACCGGCAATGGCGCAAGATCTTTCCCCAGATGCCCGATCTCCACAGACCATTGTCAAGGCAGAATGCAGAGTATGGCAGCGAGTCGGGTCACACGCCGGGTCGGAAGGAGCACGAGGATGCGGACCCTGCGATAGACCCCAAGACCGGTCATCCAAGGCTAGCCAAATCCGATACCGACCATTCACACGCCAGCAGCACCCGGGATCGTGCTCGCCAGAAGCTTCACGATCTCACGGGCCATCACCATCACCGCCACAGCCAGTCGACGCATAGCCATCATGACTACTTGCGTCTCGGCAAGTCATCCTTCTCGGACGGATCTGACAGCGAGAGCGAAAAGATTAAGAAGATTGAGAGGAGAAACCGGTCCAGCACATTGACGAGTAGTCACCAAGATATCCTTGAGAAACAGATGCTGGAGATGATTGCTAGGGAAGCCCGAGAGAACGATCCTAAGAGGACGGACGATTCTGGGTGGATGACCCCGGAGCGGGATGCGGGAGCGCTGTCTCAGCCGCAATCACGCCAACACAGCCGAAAGCCTTCGATTGTAGAGGTTAGCGAGTCCGACGAGAGGAAGAGCAAAGAGAAGCCTCGAAAGACCCCGAGCTACCTTCAGCGACCTGGAAGACCTAGTCTGGAGATTCCTCACCCGGCACGCAGGAGCTCTTTCGATGTCGACTCCTCACAACCCAACTCCCCTGATGGTGCAGTACGCGGGGATCCTTTCATTCCCGCACTTGGAGGCGATTTATCCCCGGGATCCAGTCGCGCCAACTCACCGACCAGGAACCCCTTTTCAAAGGTCAAGCAAGCAATCTTCCGCGATCGAAGTAAAGAGAGAGGAAGCGAACGGATTTCAGAAGAGCGTTCTAGCGCTGAGTATCTGGCAAGCGCACCGAAGACGCCATTTGAGGCGTCGCCAGAGTCATCCGGAGAGCGGAGGTCGATTGACAGGCGGGGATCGTCTAGGAGTCCTTCCCGTAAGATCGCCCAACGAACGACCGGAGACAGCCACAAGTCGCACCGCAGCGTTACTAGTACCAAGCTACGCAGCGATGATCCGGGCGTCAGAGGAATATTCAAAGCAGCCCGCATCGACAAGGTTATTAGCGGCGGAGTATCGAAGCTGGGAGACCTCATCTGGCGTAAGGAGTCGGATACGGGCGACGGCCCACCGGAGGCAGAGGGCACGACGACGGACGAGTCAGATACGGAGCCAAGAGGCAGGCGAAAAGGCGAGACGCCGTTGTCAAGGACTGCATCCATTCGCCAACAGAACAACAAGAACTTCCTAGACGTGATGCCGACGTTCCAATCGGACAAGTTGAGAGCCACCGAAAGCGAACCTGCTATTCCCCTGGATCCGACATCTCGGCCGCCGAGCCGCAGGTCGCCTCGGTTTGATAGACTCAAGCCGCCACGCATCGACATTTTGAGCGCCTCGCCCAGCTCATCACCCAGCTCGGCCAAGCGACTGTCTGATCTGTCCGAAGGCGAGCCGAGATCAGGTGCCAGTGAAGGAGTCAAGGAGGCAGACAAGCGGCTCAATAACATTCTCACGATGCCCCAGGCCCTATCGCCTCACGCTCAGCCGCCTTCGCAGCGTAGTCGCCACTGGTCAATTTCCGATCACAGCCCGGCGCCAGATCGTGCCCCGATGTCGAAGCGAGAGATCGCCCGCCTACGCGCTCTGGTCCTCAGTTCCGGCATCAAGGCGATGGAAATCACTCGCCGCGCCAATGAACCGCGCCTAATATTTGCTAGTGAAAGGCGCCCGTCACAGCATGACCTACAGGTCGCCAACGTCTTCTGGCCGGAAGTCGCCAAACTCAGCACTGACCCTTCCATCCGCAATAAAGCCATTCCCCAGACAGAACTGTACCAGTTCGCGGCCAAGACTCTGGGCACATCGATCCAATGCTCTGGCCAGGAATGGCAAAAGTCAGCAGACACCTTTGTCTCGGAGACAGTCCCCGCGCTGCATCGTCGTGTGGAGGACGTCCGCCGCCGTGTGGCCACAGACCTGTCAGCCATGACGCGCGCAGCGGCCGACGAAGCCGACGAGACCAGCCGTGATCTGACTCTCGGCCAGCGGCTGAAGATCAAGCACACCCTCGACGTAATCGAGAAGATGCTCCGCCGGCGCAGACGTAGGTTCCGCTGGGTCCGTCGGGCCATGTGGCTCGCTGTCGAGTGGGTGCTAGTCGGTTTCATGTGGTACGTGTGGTTCGTCGTGATGATACTGAGGGTCTTTTGGGGCATCGGGCAGGGCGCTGTCGGGGCTGTGAGGTGGCTGTTGTGGTTGTGAGGTCCCCCTGGCGTGACGGACCTTTGCGTTTCCTATTACTACACTTTACCTTACTGTCATTACATGCATAGCGAGACTGCATCATCATCATCAGCAAGCTACGGAGTCGAGATTTCTACGTTTTTGGATGTTTGCTGGATACAGACAAACGGCGGGAGGAAGAGGGAGAGCTACACAAAAAAAGAGAAGAGGCAAGAGAGTGAGAAAGATAAGTGGAGGGAGAGTGATGATACCCGATGGGAAAGGGGGATTACCGGAAGACACTCCCTGTTGCGTTTTTGTTTCTGTAATCGCTCGGGCTTTGTGCGCAAACACATTATTTTCGTCTTTAGTAGGTTTGGGGAAACGGTTCTTCGTCGGGTTCCTTTGGATAGCCGGATACTACGGCTGAGCCGGAGGTTGGGTTGGGGATACATAATAATGATACATAACTTATCTTCTTCAAAGTGGTGCTGATGTGCTTGAGTGAGTGGACTGATGGGATTCTGTTTCGTGTGCTGCTGGCGTGGAACCTCGTCAAGGCAGACGATGCTAAGCTATGGTGGTTCGGATAGAGATACCTCGTTGTCTGCCATCATGTACTTATTATGTATTGTCGAGCTGTGAGCGGCCTTTTGCAAAAGCTCAGACGCACAATCAATGGCCTTTGGGTGATTGTTTGCAGTTGACGCACCACTTCACGTTTCGAAGTATATTCGCCGGACGCATGATGTGTTGCTACAGGCGGGTGATGCCAGCTTCGTGTAGCCGGCCAAAGTGTGTATGGGACACCGAATACTTCAGAGGAGATGAGAAATGACGAAGAACGGAGTCTGGAAAACAAGGCAGGGCGTGAGCGGGACGAATTGGGTGACCGTACGCTGGGCTGCTTTAGACGCTCATGCTAGCCAACCAGACCACGGTGACCAATCCACAGAGGCTCGTCTATCACTTTGCCCCAGTAGGCTCTCAGGATCCAGACCAGAGGATGGGCCTTTTTATTTTGCGCGCTAGCGCCGGCGGACTTGCGGCGATGACTTGGGTCGTTTTGCGTCTCGACTAGAGCCCTTGGAGAAGGAGGTACCAGGTAGTGATTATGCGTATAAAAGCATGATGGAAGCTTGTTCTTGGACGGTCAGAACATTTGCGCTCATACTGGGTGTTACTTCTTTTCAACAATTGGCTGATTGAGGAATCCGCGCGGGGAAACAGAGTCGTTGGGCTGTGTGGAGTTCGCATCTTTGTGTGCGGTCTGGCATTGCTGGGAGCTGGTTTCTGTAGTTGGTTCGATCACATAAGCCGGTGTATTCGGAGTTGTTGTCCCCAAATGTATGGTATTGAGAGGCAGTTTGGTGGATAGGAAAGAACAGAAGCAACGCCCTGGTCTGTCTTATCTTGCCAGAGGCGATGAGCATTCGAAAAGCAATAGCATCAGCAGATCATTGCGTCTCTCTTTGATTTTCTTGATTTCCGAGCATCGTAGTGGGTTTTATACTTGAAGTCTTCGAGTTCAAGCCCGCGGCAGGTTTTGCATGGGATGAGTGGCGGATATAAAGGTCAAACGTCAATGCAGGAATGTCGAAAGCAAGCAAAACAATATCGACATGATTTCTGACATGTCGAGTTTCCCGCAATGAAGCTGCCGTTCCAGGACATTCGAGTTAAAGAGGATTCGAATGGAAGGTAGCTGAGGTCGCCTGGGGAGTGGCGTTTGCCAGAGCTGTCGTCCGCCGCATATTGTTGAGAGAAGATTGATGTATTTGGTTTGTGCATGACTACCTCACGAGTCATGAATAGTAGTTGGGGTGCTGGACTTCGGCGACTGCAGCGATTGCCTAGTCGTTCTCTCCAGCCATGTTGAAGACTACGCCCGGCTTGACACATATGACGGTTGAAGATCTCATTCGTCGTTGAGAGCTTTATCTCGGTTGGGCAGGACGCATTTATTGACATAAGAGAGCATGCCCGTGGTGATTATCGATGAACGACTGTAGGGATTCCAGAGGTGGATGTCTGTAGGGGAGATGAAAGGACCAGAGTGTAGCTACTAGTCGTATTCAAGCATAATTTATCTCTAAAGATTATCTGGGACAATATGCCTTGCTTACACATGGGTGCCATTCGAGAGATGCGGCGAGGGTGTTTTGCTTATAGTCTATGTATTATGAGCACCGTGTGCAGCATCTCCTGCTTGCATGTAATTCAACGATCTTCGCCATTCACAGCGCTTTCCTTGTCTGTTCCTCGCGTATTAGGTAGTTTTGGGGAATATAGTCCGCTGAATACTTCAGTGGGAGGGGTGGCGAGAACACGCGCTGACGGGGTGATCTGTGGGCACAGATACCGAATTATTCCGAGCTGACCACTGTTGGTGTAATGATTACAATTTGGCCATGGAAAAGACGCTCGCTTCGCATTGCTGGGGTTCTAGAGATGCAACACGTTTGGGGACCTTATTTGTGTCTAACATGTGAGAGCAACCCGTCCTTTGAACCTAGACATCAGTCATAGCGAAAGCTCCATAGCTGGCGTAGTATTTAAAGTCTGAGCTAGTGGAATATCGTGGACCTCAACCAAATGTATTGCCGTTCACAATCTTCAGGTCTGATGGAACAGCCGTCGCGGAAGTGGCATCCCGGCAAATATGACAGCAACCTGACTTCGAGATGCTAATGCTTCATCACCGCCCTCAGGTCTTTCTGGGCTTCATCTTCTACATTCTATTCGGATATTATTCCCGGAGGTACTATGCAGACCACGTTAAAGCGACCTTTCATAAAAGGATCTGTGGCCCCCTCAAGAGTTGTTAGTCACACGTAGCCCCTGCACTGCGACCTTTTGTCCATGATGATCTTATTAATCACACTACAACAGCCGGAAAACTCTATGAAAATCTCTCTTTGTGTTAAGGGAAAGAGATCACCAATTTATAGATCTTGGAGCCTCGTGTCTGGCCACTCGCCCGGACCGACGACTTCCTTGTAGATGGTGCTGCCTAACTTCATGCACGTGCCCGGTCTATCTGATCTGCTTGGGCCCATCAACCGCCCCGATCCATGCTCGCAGCAAGTTGGTCCAGTCTTATTTACCATCATGGAATGACTTTTCTTATTCGGGGGCTATCCGGGCGGATGGTGATAATAGAATATTAGTAGTAATCAGTACAAAGACAGCAAGGACGGCGACGGCGGCGGCGGCGACGACGACGACGACGAGTATAACGATAATAATAGAGGAAACTATCTTCATATATAGCTTGGAGGTAGCGAATAAACCGGAAGAAGAGAGAACGGCGCAGCGCGTGGCCGATCACAACAAGGCTAAGCGGGCCATTGAGGCTCTCGTGGCCTGCAAACGCCACCACACGAAAGATGACTCCTCAACCAAAGTGGTCTTCCCAAGAGGTTCTCACGGCCACAAAATTGAAACGCCCTGCTGCTGCCCTGCCCATCCCTCTTCCTCTTCCCTATTGAATACGTCTAACCAAGTGCTGGCGCATCATCACTACCTTTTATGAATTTCAGCACCCCATAATTCAACGACCCGGTCTCACCTTGAACGACCCAGCCGAAAAATGAAGCTCCGTTCAAGAACCATATACTCGACCGGCAATGCCAATCACCTTCTTCGATGGGCAGTCTTGCCTGCGGAGATTCGACTGATGATTCTGGAGCAAGCTGAGATCGGAGACATCCAAGCGCATGATTTGTCAAATTGGCCAAGGGTCTCGAGGGAATGGCAAACCTTCTTCGAACCGCAAATTTTCCAACACTTGAAGCTTCAAATTCCCGGTTCCGACATCGACGATCTGAACTCTTGTGTTCACGGCTATCGAAGAGATCTCGTCAAAAGGATCTCACTTCACGTAAGAACTCAAGAGTACGATAATGTGGACAGGTTCGATGAAGAAGAGAGCCCAGACACTATCAAGGCAAACAATAAGCTCTTCAGCCAAGCCCTGAAAAGGTTGTTTGTCTCTCTTTCGGCATGGTCTAGTGGCTCGCCTAGAAGTGGTATCAAATTAAGCTTGAGCGCCGGCTCTCCGAGCGGTTCAAGTCACCCTTGGGAGCATCGCGCAGGCACTGAGAGGAGTCAACACGATAGAAGACGTGTTTACTCCTTGAACTCCAGGCGGCGTCTTCTTGGTAACTTAATAGACGCCAGCTCTGGCGCTCTTAAACTTCCTCAGGTCTCCGTCGTCAACAGGTTTTCCGTCAATCAATATTGCTACAGAAGCCTGTCGAGGACATTGCTTGCGAAGGTTCTTCATAGCCTTTGCCGTCTCAAACCTGTCAACTACGAGCCATGGTATGCGATTGCTTACTTCGAACAAGGATTCCGTAATGTGGCAACAGCTATGCTGCTCGGCTGCGTGAGCGAATCGAGCACGATGAACTCAGTGCATATTTGGGAGGCGAAGTCTCGACTGAATGAAAGCGCACATTTTTTCAGGCTTCGCGACGAATACCTTATATATCAAGCGGTCAATTCAAGCTATCGTCTTCAGTGTTTAACCATTTGTCACGCTGTTGATGCCAGAGACTTTTTTCGGCATGCGTCGAGGGATTTGCCGCCAAACTATTCTCAGCCATTAGATGGTCTTCGTACATGGCCAGCCCTCAAATACCTAGCCCTGACGACGCATATTGGAGACCTGGTATCCAGACCATCAGCGCTGGAAAATCTGCTTCTTCAAGCAAGCCGGGCCGCTTTGCGCATGCATTTACTGGAAGTGATGGAAATCTGGGCCTCAGACTCCGATAACGGGTTCATCTTCAGATATCACGTTCGGGAAGGCTCGCCATTTCTTACTGTGATAGCGACATGGCAGCTCACATTGAGCGAGAAGGCTTTGGGTTCATGGAAACAAGTGGCAGCTGGCTGTTCAGAACACGAATTAACCTGCAATGTGGAGCTGACGAGGTCGGACCTGCCAAACTTCCCTTGTAATCTGTTAAAACTAGGTCCACAACTGAGGGACTGGTTTCGAGTTTGTAGCAATAGATTCACAAAAGTATTGCTATGTTATGAATTTGGATCAACTACATGCACGCATATCGATTTTCTCGTATATTTTGAATGACTACGTGCGACGCAGATAATGATCATGTAAGTAACGATGACGATGGCCGACAACGGACGACGACGATGACGACGACGACGATGACGACGACGACGATGACGACGACGACGACGACAGTCAGGACAACAATGAAGATTAGGACGATGATAACAAAAGGGGGCATCTTTCAATAGACCATATATGTAGTCGTCCGCTCGGTTAGCCAGAGGTATCCGCCCGGATAGCAAAACTCCGTGGATTCCCGGCAACCGGAGAAGCTGAATATTTGATGAACGTTCCACCGGTGGTTGCCTTCTTTAAGCATGCCATGATTGTATTGTTCATTTAATGACCAACAACTTGAGCAAGCAGGGTTGTCGTGGGGGCATACTAGGTCATTGATAAACACGTCGCATTGTTTAACGCGACATCCATCCTTAAAACCACCCGATGACTCTTTTGACATTGCTGGTTTGGTAAGGGCTCTTTTTCACTTTCAAATGAAAATGATGCTCCCTACTGAGCAGCTTTAGACTCGAGCTTGTCAATCATAGGGCACTTCACATGTCAATGTGGGTGTCCTAGAGCGTTTTCAGTCTATGTCCCAAGATGGTGTGTTTTCCGACGAAGAATCACGAAATCAAATGCTCAGCTTTGTAAACTCACATGCATTTCTTCGGGCTCGATCACATTCCATATCGTGTTTTTTCATTGCCGGTCAGGACTCAGCTACTCGGCGAGCTGTGTCTTACCACAGCTCCGCCTTTACCGTTTGCAACGGATTGCAAAGAAGCCTTGGCAACCCACTATAAAACAGTTTGTCTTGAATGTCAAGACATTATCCGAACTCTATTTACGAGTTGTCATTCAAAGTTCAGCTCGCCTTCTTGACGCCTCATATTTTCCATCACATTCAGGAATGCTTCAAGAGAATTTAAACGGAGATGGAAAGGAAACTTAGTGAAGGGGACCTACCAGTGCTGGAAGCTGGATAGTAAATCTTTGAAGATGTTATCGGGCTTCTATATTCCCCCTGTCGTGAGGATATAGTTCGATAAGCGTTTTTTTGATGAATGCGGACATGGTTGAGAAGCTTCTGTCAGTGAAACCCGCTGCCGTTGTTTTGCGGCCCGATAGTGTTGATTCCAAGTTTGTTTGTGTCTCAGAAATAGCACGAAGGCCGCGAAGGCTTCTTCCTGACAGCATATTCACATGTCGAGCGATAAGAGCAGCAATGTCGATCTCATGTTCCTTCCATTTTGCCTATGTGATGCTGCTTTCAGGATCTAAACTCTGGCGTTATCACAGATATCAGGGTATCTTCATGGCATGTCTCAGCCTCAGCTTGTCATTCCTCGCGCTTTCCGACGCTCCGAGACCCTACATGCTGACATGGAAAAGAAGCATACAACAGCAGGTATAATCATAACACAACATATCTCTCCCTGGTTCACAGCGGATATGTTAGGGTCTGGCGTGTTCACATGCTGTCAACACAACTTCACGACCCTCTCAGCCTCACCTGAGTTGAGAATTTGCTCTGTAGCAGACTGGAACTCAGCACTGAGACAACAACAACAATTCCCCGCAACGGAGGGTCCCGACGGCCCGTCCCTGAAGGGGTTATCAAGAAATGGACTCCCATATGTAGCCCATACAGGACCTGTGGGTAACGAGTCACAACTCATCAATAGATCACAGACTTCCAGACCCAAGCATTTCATCTTACCCCAACATCACTGATCATGTTCACAGCCACCGCGGGCTACGCCGCCTGGCGGTACTTCCACCGCCAGCCAGAGAAGAATTTAAAGACCACAGCGCGACCCATCGCCCAGACTGACCAGCCTCTGGAAACCTTGGATCGGCAACAGGTTGAACAAAACCCCCGCGATGCTGCCAAGCGCCAAGGACTTTCTCGCAAGCGGATCATCATCTGCTGCGACGGCACCTGGCAGACTTCGGCCACGGGTCGGAAGAACGTCCCCTCCAACGTCACACGTCTAGCACGCTCTATTGCCCACAACAAGAACCAGACGGGCAGTGATGATGGAAACTCTCCCGAGGAAGATCTCCAGCAAATTGTCTACTACAGCCCCGGTATCGGCACCGGCGACGGCGTCAACATCCTCGAGAAGACCCGTCAGGCAACCTTTGGCGATGGACTTGTGTCCGACGTCATCAAGGCCTACTCATTCGTCGTCATGAACTATTCTCCTCTCGATGAAATATACTGCTTCGGATTCTCGCGAGGCGCCTACACCGCCCGTGCGGTGGCTGGTCTCATCACGGACATTGGCATCATCAAGCCCCAAGAGTTGGACGATTTCCCGGAGCTCTACGCGCTGTACCGGAAGTGCGGCAACAATGACAGCTTCAGGTTCCGCCAGTCTCCAGAGTATCGACAGTGGATCATGGGCATCAGGAAGAAGGGTTTTGAGTACCTGGTCCAGAACCCTGAGAAGCCGGACAACAACTGGACCCAGGTGCCTCACTCCCTGCCTCCTGAGTTCACCAGAGTCATTCAAGTTGTGGGTGTTTTCGACACCGTCGGCGCTTTAGGAATCCCGTACATGGGCTGGACTCAAGGGATAAGCAACTACATTGCTGGCCGCCTCCCATTCCTAGGCATTGATGTATACGGATTTCACAACCCTTCGCTGAGCAGGTGTAAGTCTCGATGATCGCTTGTACGGCAACCATGACACCAAAGCTGACTTCTAACTACGCAGACATCAAGAATGCATTTCATGCCCTTGCACTGGACGACAAAAAAACGGCCTTCTGCCCAACTCTTTGGCGTCTTCCCGGCCCTGGCCAACAAGCCCCTTATCCCACTACGGAGACTAGGGAGGCGCTCGCAGAGAGACTCAGAAACCTTCTCAATGCCAGGCAGCCCGATGAAACTGAAATAAATACAGCATGGTCTGACTTGGTGGGGTGCGAGATGGCGGATCAGTTACAAGTGCAAAAAGATGGCCAGTTGGAATATGTCAAGCCGAATCTTCAGCAAGTTTGGTTCCCCGGCAGCCACCAAAACATCGGAGGCGGCAATCCTGGCATTCTCTTGGGAGCTCCATTCGACTGTGAGCGTAAGCACTTCTCACTCCCCTGAGCGTGAATCAGTCGCTGACCATTGCAGAACTCGCGCTTGTCACCTTCACTTGGATGTGTGACCAAGTCAGCCCCTTCCTCCAGTTCAATGACGAGCAGATCGCGGCGAATGCAAACCACCCGCAAATCTTGTCAACCCTCGCAGACCGCGAGATCTTGTCACGCAAGAAGCTCATTGAATTTTCGCACCAATCTCAAGGCCTCCACGTCAGCTCCTTCGTGAAACTTGCGCGCCAGGTGTTGAGCCGGCTCCGGTGGGTGAAGACTGGCGAAGACAACCAAGAGTGGGCCTTGGGACCCATTATTGGGGATACCTCCGTCGTCCAGGGCGGTTTACTCATAAGCTTTCTCTTCCGCTCGCTCTTCGCCTTGATCTTTGGCTTTGTCTTCCGCTTCCTCTTGAAAGACAGAACTCCAGGCTTGTACAACAGACCTGACGGTCATCAGAATGATGCCGGAATCACCAACGAGCGGGTCCATCCTGCCGTACGATATCGCATGGACAATGATCCCTCGTATAAGCCGGGAGCCCTCAAAGATTTCCAGAAGCCAATTACGAAGAAGAAGGGACCCTACAACGACAACAAGTACGTGTGGAGGTCGAGAAAGACTGCTCCCTCTCTTCAGGAATACATTATCAAGCCTGAGGATCGGATCTCTCGGGAGCTTGCCAACCGATCCACGATCGCAAAGCAATTCATCAGTGCACTTTGAAGTAAGAGGCAGTCTCTTGGCAGGATTGGATATCTGAACCCAGGCAATAATTGGCTGTGTCTCCTTGTCAACAGAGTGAAAGAGCAAATACTCGAGCTCCCGCTATAATCTCTTTTGAATTAGGCCGTAGTTACTTCGCCGTTTTGATCTCTTGTTTTCATTGAATACAGAGCCAGACTGAAGTGGCCTTAAAATCGACTGTCATTGCATCTGAAATGCCTCCATTTACTTCCATCCATGTGCCCCAGATTTCTGACACTCGGTAACATCAAAAACCTTGCAATAATCAGCATACAATTGTTGGGAGAAATCCAATGATAACAATGAGAAATTAGCCCTTTAGTGTGTTTCTATACCGTGAGCAACAGTACTGCGACGAAAACCTCACCTGGGCTCAAGTTCTAGGCGTCTGCTGTTGCCCAGGGCAAGCATAGTGCTCGACTTATCCCGATTACAACTAGAATTAATCGCAAGAAATACTGGAAAATAAAAGTTAGACGCGGTTGTTTAATACCCGCCTCGTCCCCTCACCGGAACACCTTGTCTGTTGGTCTGTACACTCCCAAAACTCGAGTCCACTTCATCGACTTTGAGAGTGTTTGCAAAGGGAGTTCCTCGCTCTTGTCTGATTCCTCTGGAAGCTCATGGTATCCCAACGGGCGATCCTCTTCTCTGGGCCCATCATAGTGCCGCACACGACCACCCGCACCTCTTCGAGCGCCTAAGCATACTAAAGCAGGTCCCGTCTGAGTCGCCACCGTTACCACGATAATACCACTGGCAACAAGCGTCTGGAGGTTCATCTTGATATCGATCGAGAAACCGTCGTCACTCCTGCGTTTGAAAAGTCGATTAAACGGTCCTTTGGTTGCGAGGATAGTGTAGGGCTCTTTTGATAGGAGATATTCCATGACATCCTGCTCGTCGACGCCAGTGACGTAGCATAGTTCCGACGCGCTACGGCAGGGAACCCGTCCGCGTAGAAAATCTCGCCAGGGCCACTCCCGCACATACGCATTTTTTGCAAGAAGAATTGCAAAGGCCGAAACAACCCACGCATAAACCGCGAAGTTGAAGGGGTCGATTCCTTGGGACTGCAGGCTATTGCCGACTGAAAATGCTGCCACCAGACCGCCTATAACAGCCGCGCAACATGGTACAATTGTTCTCATGACGAATGCTCTGCGCATGACAACGACCGTATTGTCCTCGATTTCCCATGTCCGAATGTGCCTTTTAAGCTCCTGTGCTGAAGCATCAGCACTGCTCCAAACAAGTTTGCCCAAGTCTGCCACGGCTTTGGACGAAGAAAGAGGATCAATGTCAAGGTTGATGGTATGCCAATTCTGCCGCTCTGCAGCATACGTTCTCAACGCCGCATAAACGGAGAATTTAGAGCTCGGATGTGGCTCTGAGTCGAATGAGCTCGTCATGGGTGACATTCCCACACTGAAAGCAGACGCTTTGTTGATGCTAGAAACCGGCCCTGGTTGGATGTGAAAGGGAGGAATCAGGAGAGGAATCAGGAGAGATACGATCTCAGCCAGAGTTTCGACGTGCAGATGTAAATTTGCACTATTCGTCATCAGTTTACTCTCCACCATCTGAGTCCTGGCAGTGTCATGCATGACCAAAGAAAATCTTGCGCCAATAGGTTGTACAGCAGTAGTCTCAGGGCTCTGACTACCTGTCGTTTGATCTTTTCCAGTATTCATGGTGTCTGCAACTTGTTGAAGGATGCGAAAGCCCGCGTAAATGGCGCGCAAGGATTTCCGCGAACTCGTTCCAGCGATCTCCCCATGCCGGTCCTGGCAAACCCATGCCGGTAAGTCAAGCCAACTAGCTCCGTAGACAACCGAACATACGTCGAAGGCATCCACTGAGTGTCCAGATAGCTTCGTAGCCTTGAATTCGCCAAAAACTGACGTTAAAGTGTCCAAGGCCCACGAAGACATCGTAGACATGTCATTGAAGTAAACAGAGCTGGTGTTTTCTTCATCGCGGAGCAACGTCCTCATAGTCGGGTTGTCCGGACCGTGTGCCTTACCAATCTTTCGAAGATAGTGTTGGTCGTCGTTCGGGTTCACCGAGGCATCATCATCCCACCTGGTATCCTGTGAGATAGCGGCAATAGTATCATTGGCATCGCCCATGTTTGGTTCGTGCATGCCCTGCTTGAGACGTTCCTGAACAATCGGTTGTGAACATCCTCGGAGGAATTTCAGTTTAGCCGAGGATTTCGCCAATGTTGCAACCACGCGTGTCTGCCAGAGCTCGTTTGGTACGGCGTTGCAGGCATTCTGTGCCATCACGGCCGTCACGTAATCAACCAAGGCACAGTAGAAAATGTGGTCTTGGTCGAGATCGAGAGCTGAATCAGTTTCAGATCTCTCAGGATGCGTGTTTGCACTTTCTGCTCCATTCTGTCGGAAGATTTGCCGCTGCGCGGCGGAATAAAGCTCCAAGTTGAAAGCCTCGCGGTAGTGTCCCCATAAGACCAGCTGGTTGTCATGGATGCAGATCCCTAAATTCCGTATGACCTGATCAGCCGCATCTGACAGCTTCTGAAAGCTAGCTCTGTCTGCCGGCGTGTCATCACTTATATCGAATCAGAAAGGCTTGTCGGTTCTGCTTGTTTCGACCGCGTCAATGAGCCTGGTCATTTCCCGATGCCAGAGGTCAGCCTCTTCAGATGAAGAGATACCGTATCGGCATAGATCATCGAACTTCGGCTGGGAGATGACTGTGTCCGTATGTCCAGGTGGCGTGTAGGTCTTGTGTGAACGTACGAACGTTAGAACCTTGTCGGGATCGATTGCAGGAAGTGGTTTCCTTCGGGAAGGAGCAAGCTTGAGCTCGGCATCTTCTGGTATGTTGTATCTAGTTTTCGGGAAAAGACGATTGATTTCCAGCGTTTGGGGGACATCGCCGGTCTCGGGATCGAGCGGAGGCTTCGGAGGGGTTGTTTCCGGGGCCCTGTTAGGGTTCGAATGGCTTGTCATTTCGAATCTGTGAACCTATCTGAAGGGCATCCCATTTCAGAACGAATATGAGTCTGGGATTCCAATGCTCTTGAAGTAATGTAAATTGGATCAAGAATCCAGCGCGAAAAGCTGTGATGGTTGAGACTGATGCTCGCGAACAACGGCAAGACGAGAGACAAGCCAGGACATATAACAGTTTGCAGCAAGGCAACGCAGCGGCGGTAAAATAAAATGGAAAAATACCACGTGTGTATCAGGATTATTCATGTGAAACATTGTGAGAGCAAGCAAATGAGAAGCTATGTCTCACTTCCAATGTGCACAATACCGTAACACCAACAACGCGCTGAACGAGTGTCCAAGAAAACACTTATTTTTCCCAAGGAGGGCTTCGCCACCTACGCGATCTGTCACCAGGAATCTATCGAGGGTCTCTGATGATTCTCACTCGTCCGTTGAAGTCTTCAGTAGCATAAATGGCTGTCAGCTCAAGATCGAATACGAAGCGTCGCCATCCCCTCACCGAAACTCAGCCTGCACGAATGTTGGCTGACAGTTGATTGGACTGCTCGGATATGTCTGACAGAAAGACGGTGGTACAGCCCGATACTCGGGCAGCCAAGATGCTTACTTTCAGTTTCAAATTGAGGGCTGGGGGGCTGAGGTCATGTCTGCTGTTTTCAATTGAACGTTAGTTCTGTCGCGACCGGGCAGCAAGGTAGTCATGAATTGCACCGCAGGTATCACTGTAAACTCACCAATCAACATCATATTCTATGGATTTTCGTGCTTTCTTTAATGTGCAGCATTCCACCCCATGCTCAGCTGTATGATTCGAGCAACGAAAAATGGCAGTCCTCCATATCGTATCGTCCTTGAGATGAATATCCGCTAGTCGCCTGGTGCAGCGATATCTGGACCCCCTTACTTGAGTGTCCGCAGATTCCGTCTACCTTTTCTCAACAACTTCGCTATGCTTCTCTCCTGGAAATCATCCAGTGTGGCGCATTCACTTAAAACTTCAATTATTAACGCCGATTCTCCTTGGCAGGAGAACTTCGCCACCTCTTGCTCTGGGGGAGGGACACGAAGACTCGACACCACACTGTTCAAGGTTTCCTTTGACTTGTCTGCTTTAGTGTATGTAGGAAGAAGACAGAAAATTGTGTCAGAAAGGACTTAAGATGATGTAACACGTCTTCATACCCTAGAATCCTGGCTATTGTCCCACAGTTAAGCAATATGGTGGTCGCAATAGTGACTACGATGACCCATACCAATGGCACACCCAATCTGCCCGTGTTTCGACTCTCCTATCGAGCGGTTCATCCAGGTGCATGTTATATCGATATATTCCAGGTAACCGCGAAGTAATATTCTGCAATAAGTCAGGCGTTTCCACTGCTTCCCAAAGTGCTGATGGGCTTGGTGTACCAACATGGACAGTTCCATCTTGACAACCTAGTGATGTCGTGCTTCGAAAACCTACAACAGATCTTGATAGTGCTTATGAGTATTGAGGCAGACTAATGGAGAGACACAAAGGAGGGAAGACGGTGGAGGACAACGAGCCCGACATCGTTCAGATGATTGGGATCTCAATGCTCAGTCGTCAGGCTGGTCCACGTGAGAAGACCAACAGAGCAATACAAGCCCGGACAGCTTATTACATTGGTCAAGCAGCACCATGACCGGCCGAAATTATTGACATGGATGAAGGCTTGAAGCGAACGTCCGCTTTAAATACAGACCTTCAAGGAAGCTTCAAGGCCATCGCGACGCGCACCGTCTCGCCTCGCCAAGCACAATCCAATGTCGACGGAAAGTACTCAAGAACCGCCTGTTAAACAGGGTATGAAGTCCATTCCTGGGGATGAAAATACGCAGCAGAACAACCAATGGCGTGGTGACGGCTAGCGTGGACACAGTCTGAAAGCAACGGATGGATACCTCGTTTTCACGGTCCTGGTCAGCCCGATTCTTACGCATCCAATGTTTCTCTAATCTCGCTTTGTTGGGATAGTCTCCATTGTCCAGGTTCTCAGTCGTCAAGATAGTCTCCGTCGTCCAACCTCTCCATCTCGAAGTGGGTAACGCGTATTCAACCACACTCTACACTTTGAAAATCGGACTTTGGCTGGCTTATCACCACATCACCACATGCCCAACTTCGAGACCAGGCGAGCTGAACCACTCAACGGCCCCGGGTTTCATACATCACAGCACTTCCCATCTACAATATTGTCGGTTGAACACAAGATACTCTGCAATAGCCTGCCCCTTATGGTCGCGCATAAAAAGTAAAGAGTGAATCCAAAGGGACCAGGATGTTGTGCCGTCCGCCCAAGGCGGATTGTCTGGTCCCCTCCGAGTCTACCTGCCCACCAGTAGATCCCTTCAAGCAAGGCCTATGCCACCTGTTTTCCCCTTAAAAGGAAATCATTGCAACACCCAGAAACAGAACCCCAGAATTTGCTGGGGCGTGGTATCATTACTGGAACCGTTGAAAGTACCTACCTACTACCTCCATGCACCTCCACTACATATTGGTGTCCAACCTGTTAAGCTGGACTCGATCTCCGTCTCTCACTTCCCTCCAGGCTCCGCTGTCTTCAACGCATTCACTCTCAAATAAACCAAGCGGCAGATTTCCCACGTCCAAAGCAGAGAAAGGGCTGACAGACACGCGCCTGCCACGAAAATGCACACCTCCCACTGCCGCCTCAATAAGAAGGTCCAAAGCCAAACCAGACAGACTACCATTTGCTGTATCTTCTAACCTCTTCTTCTGCTCTTAGCTGCTCTGGCGTTTCTCGACGTCCTAGCCTTGAAGCCTTGGCGGCGTATTCGTATGAGCGCGACGCTGCGTCCATGGGCACCTCGAATAATGTTCTTTGTATGCACTGACTCAGACGAATACACACTATGAACACCAAGCTGGATTTCGAAGAGTCTATCACTCTCATCACTGTTGTGTCACGAAAACAAACCAGATACTAGAACAAGAAAGTAGTTGTATTATTCAGTTCTAGCAGGGCATATTCTTTCAAAGACATCTAGTCTATGCCAATGTCTTTAAACTCCCTGCTAAAGTATTCCTCAAGAACCCATAACAAAAGGGATATCAGGCCTGTCCTCCCAAGATGGCCTAGGCGGTATATTTGTGCTGGTTATGATCCAGCACAATAAGCAGATAAAGAAAAGCAAGTGAAGCGACTTTTGCGCGTGAAGCTAATAAGACGATTATGCAGAAGAGTCTACTCAATCCTCTTCTTGCCCTCTTCAGCATTAGAGTATCTTGCCGTGCTGAGGCCGCGCTCATGGCGGGCAACAAAGGATCCCAGGACCGAGTCCTTGCGGGCCTTGGACATGTGCTCGTTGTAGCCTTCAAAGGCCCAGGGTCTAGGGTTCAGCTTAGGCCAGTTTACCTAGGCAGTGTTAGTGATGATCATCTCCTCAACAGTAGGTGACTTACATAGAGCATGCCGTGGCCAAAGATGAAGCTCGAACACCAAGCAGCAACCGCCAGCCAGAAGAAGATGAAGATGCGCATGGTAACGGTAGCTTCGGTCTTGGTGAAGAGACCAACGAAGATGAGGAAGAGACTGAAGGCCAGAAGATAGGGTACGGATTGGATGAGAATAGGGCGGCGGTCAGCGAAGATGAGGGAGCTGCCGATGTTGGCGGTGCCCGGCAAGTAGACACCAAGGAAGAGGTCGAACGAATCTTGACGGGGGCCGTCGAGGAAATTGTTCTTAAAGTAGCGGGTAACACCGATGCGAGCATCCTGAAGAGCACCCATCTTTGTGCGAACGCCGGTGCGAGTGACGTCCGTCTTCATAGCACCGGTGCCAGAGTAGGAGTTCGAGACGACATCGGCGTTGTCGGCCCAGAGGTTGCGAAACATGTGCTCGAAGGCAGGGTCCTCATCGCGGAAGGAGGAGCCACGGCTCATGAGGCCCATCTCCTCGAAGATGCGGTCAAGCATGTGACGGGCGAACATGGACTGAACGACGTTGGTGCGGTCGAGGCAGTCCATGCAGTTGGTGCGCATGACGCTGGTCTGGTAGCTGCGGGGCTCGAGACGGCCATCATTGGCACCGGGCATGTCGACAGCGCGGAAGTAGCCTTGGGCGTCAAGGGCCTCCTTAAGCTTCTCAATGAGAGCATAGGCACGGTGCATCTTCATGCCCTTAGTCTCGTGGTGGTAGTCGAAGTAGATGTAGTGAAGACGATCGAACTCGACGGCGCGCTTCTCAGGCTGGATCGTCGTGAACTTTTCGTTGGTGTGGCTGTCGCCTTCAGTGCGCTCCTTGGGGGTTGAGATGAGCTTCTCGACCATCTGTTCGTATGAGTTCTTCACACGCTGCTCGCGGCCCTTCTGGTTGACCAGGTTGATGAGGTAGTTGTCACCGTACAGGCGGATCTGCTCCTCAAAGTGCGCCTTCGCCGCAGGGAGGGCGCTGTCGATGCCGCGAACCTGCAGCTTCGGGACGTAACGCAAGCTGTTGATCTCGGCCCAGTAGGTGGGGACACTGCCACGAGTCTGGACGTAGGACATTATCTGCGTATCCTGGCCGCTGGCGCCGTACTTTCCACTCTGCATATCGGCGCTGCCAGCAAATCCTCCCATACCACTGCCTGAATCATTGAAGATGGTGATCTGCTCGGTCTCGTTGTAGTTGGCGGCGTGGCCCTCGTCGTCGACACCTCGGGTAAAGTATCTGGTTCCGCCGCGGTGTCTCGATCTGCGGGAGATGAGGGTGACGGTGACTGGCGTTCCCTTGAAGGTCGTAGGCTTGATTTCGAGCATGCCGAAAATGACGGGGAGGATGAAGGGGTCAGCGCCGGCCTGGGGGCCTGCTTGACCTCTGGCGCCGCGGGTGCGGAAGTCGATCAGGTCGGACTGGAGGAAGCGGTTGAAGAAGAACCGGTCGTCGGCGCGCTGCCACAGGGGGAGGGAGGTGTCGGCGGAGGCCTGGCGCTGGAAGGAGTTTGTGAGGTCGATGGAGTAGGAGAAGTACATGGGGCCGTTCTTCATGAAGGTGTCGAGCAGGCCGATGAAGGTGTCCTCGTCGGGGTCGCGGATCTGGCGCTCGCGCATGGGCAGGATCTCGGTGGTGATGACCTTGTAGACCATGTGGCCCTTGAGGCGGCCCATGGGCTGGGCCTTTGTGATTACGATGACATACTTGTCTGTCGCAATCGTCGAGTCAGTGCAGTGTTCGTTGGGAAGCTTGGGTGGCAACAGGCATACCGAGTCTAAGCTGGATGATGCCCAGAATACCAGCGATACTCGAAACTCGGGAGACTCTCTTGCCCAGGCCTGCATCGCCGAGGCGCAGGTCGCCGGTGGGACGGTCGATGACCAAAGCTGGAGCATCGGGGGAGGAGGGCGAAGTGAAGATGTAGGAATCGGGGGCGACTTTGACGTTAATGTCGCGGTAGGGGAGAGTGGGTGCCATGGTGTCGACGGCAACGGGTAGACTCGAGAAGAAGAGGAGACTAGAAGAGGGTGGTGAAGCAAGAGAGAGAGAGAAAGGAGCGAGCGAAAGGATTAGAAAGTTGGGAGTCTTGATGCCCGTAGGATCGGTCAACGAAGGTGGGCGTGGGCGTTGGCGTTGTCGGCGATCGCAAAAAAAGAGAGCAAGAATCCAGAGCCGCGAGCCTTGAGGACAGCTGGAGCTTGAGGCTTTGGTTGGCTGGCGAGGAGTGGCTGTCGTCACTTTGCAGGCGCAGTTCCCTTTCGCAGGCAGGTCCCTACCTCCTTACCTCATACCAAGCAGGACCCTCCACGGCTAGGGGGCGAGAGAGCTCCCTTGGCGGGTGGAAGGGGCAGCCGGGGAGGGACAGTGGACTGCTGCTGCTGCTGCACCTCAGTCGAGTTCCAGCTTCAAGAGTGCTGCTGCACTGACAGTGGACTGCCCTCGATACCGCAGGTCGACTGGGTACGTACCTCCTGGAAGTCCGGCTTGTGAAAGAGGGGCACGGACTACAGAAACGAAGCTCTGAGCCAATGAAAACACACAATAGACTCGGCATCACATGGCTTACATAACGCAACTCTTCATGTCACTGGGTCGGCTCTGCACTTGCACGTGGTACGTACCTGAAGATTGGTACCTGATGGACGATGATGTGGGCGGCGTGGAAAGTGAAGGGGGCATTGGACACTCACCACGTTCACCTCCAGCAGAGCTCCAGGACGGTACACCGGAAGACTGGAGAGCTCAGCAAGGAGGCCGCGGACAGCTGAGGTAATAAATCAACGCCGTCTGCCACCAGCAGGGCGCTAAGCTGCCTGAGGTAAAATGTGCTGCAAGAGGTGCTATGTAGTACATACATACATACCTACCTGGGTAAATGACGATGAATGGCTTCCAAGTACCTTCAACCAATCTGCTGCAACAAGATACCTGCGGCGGTAAGGTCATCATAACGGACCGGGCAAGCAGGGGACTTGGGCTATCGGGGTCACTGGAGGCCCCGTCCGCCTTGAGAGCTGCACCTGACAGCAGTGCGCCGTCGCTTCCTCTGCTCTGCTGGAGGTGCCCGGTGCCCGGTGCCCAGCCCAGTGTCGGCGTCAGTGCCAGTTCCATTCGATTGCCTCCAGACAGAGGGGGACCCCCATTTCATTCGCAGTGCAGCCAGTGTCCCAAGAGCCTGACGTGTGCAACGTGCCCGCCCAGCCATTCATCATCGAGCTTCACCACCCCCCAAGGCAGTCACATTATTCCAGGGCCCGATTTACTTGCCATCGGCTCCTTCTGACTGCCTGCCTTACCTACTACGCCAACTTACCTCTGTGTCTCCCACCTCTCGCCTCATCCACCACCCCACGCCGCGCAATCACCATTTCGATCCACGATACCACCGTTGCTTTGCGACCGACGCTGCTTTGATCGATCGTGCCCCCCGACCGACACCGCCCATTTCCCCCATTTCCGTTTCGACAAACGTCCGCTCCGCCAGCGACCCCGTCCGGCGACATTCCAGAGATCGGCCCCCAGTGCACCCTATCCGTCTGCGAGGTCCATCCACCTTGAAGCTTTCTGCAGCCGCACACCTCTCCCATCCAAACCTTCACATCGCTCAAAATGTCTGCCCGAGGTCCTGGTGCTCCCGGCGCTCGCGGCATGAACACGCGCTTTGCGCAGTTCAAGCTGGTCTTGCTAGGTATTCCATCTCCATCGATACCTTCTTTTGAATCGCTGGGCTAACTGTGATGATGCAGGCGAGTCCGCTGTTGGAAAGGTACCCCTTCGGAACCCAGGGAATTGCTGCCCATCATGCTAACGTGTCACCCCTAGAGTTCCATCGTCCTGCGATTCGTCAAGGTATGTTGTTGATACCCGACGTCGATATCTTCAGAAAGCATCCCGCTAACGTCCGCCTCCATAGGACCAATTTGACTCTTACCGCGAATCTACTATCGGTGCTGCTTTCTTGACGCAGACCATCTCCCTCGACGAAAACACCACGGTCAAGTTCGAGATCTGGGATACCGCCGGCCAAGAGCGCTACAAGTCCCTCGCCCCTATGTACTACCGCAACGCCAACTGCGCCGTTGTTGTTTACGATATCACTCAATCTGTACGTCAAATGGCATGCAACAGCCGGAAACCGGAGGCTAACAGATGCAGGCTTCGTTGGATAAGGCAAAGGCGTGGGTCAAGGAGCTGCAGAGACAAGCGAACGAGAACATCATCATCGCCCTCGCCGGAAACAAGCTGGATTTGGTCAACGAGCAGCCCGATAAGCGAGCAGTTTCCACAGCAGACGCCGAGGCCTACGCGCGCGAGGCCGGACTCCTCTTCTTCGAGACGTCCGCGAAGACGGCCGAGAACGTCAAGGATCTTTTCACGGCCATTGCCAAGAAGTTGCCGCTCGACCAGGCCGGCCCTAGGCATGCTCGGCCAGGACAGCGACAGGGCGTCAGCCTCCAGCCCGAGACCCCCGGCAGCAACGTCAGCGGGCCCTGCAGCTGCTAGATGAAGTCGACGCAAAGGATATCACATACCAGACGAGCCAGAGGACCGGAGAGAGAAGGGTATTTTTATCGGTTTCAGGCAGATTCCTGCCGACAGACTGCCCCAGGCGACCCAGCGGCCAAACACCACCCACAAACATGCACGTATATGACGGCGTTTTGGCTGGATGAGGTCGGACAGCGTTGTCTTGCACCCTACGCCGAGATAGGGTATGCCAGGCCCAGCTTTTTAATATCAACAGTACGTTTTTCGAGAGTGTGATTTACATTTCGTGTCTTCATTGCGCTGGTCATTCGGTTGTGGCAACTCGGGTGTAGGGACAGACCTGGATTCAGACGGTGTACGGGAACGGATTCACTTTTTACTATGGGGGGAAGCATCCTGCAGCATTTTTCTGATGTACAGTATGCAATAGAGGCAACTGTTTACGGATGGTTCACTTCATGGGTGTGCGCTTTATGAATGATGTTTGTGAGGCGTGCTGCCACGTCAAATAGATTGGATGGCAGATGTGACTTCTGTGCTGGGCGAGGATCGGGTGACGTCGTGAGGTATTTCTGGATTTCGTACAGAGATAACAAACAGCTTGAAACGTGTACGGAGCTGAAAACCCCAGTCCAGGGCGCATAGAGACCAAAATCAATGTTTTCCTAATTTTTTTTTGTCTTGAAAATCTGGAGCTCGTCGCTCGCTCGCGTGTGCAGTGCAGTGACGTGAGCCACTGTTCATCCCGGTTCCTGCCGTCGGGCAGCGGATAGCACAGCGCGGCTGGCAGCTCCCAGTTTTAGCCGAACTTTTCCCTGAGCTTTTTTGTGCCTGGATTCCATCACATCCTCCACCACAACTCCCTCGACATCATCCCCCTCCCAAACCCGCCTTGTCGGCCCATTGCATCCCCTCATGTTGCGAACGTCGATTCGATCCGTGAGGGTGCTCGGTCACAGGCCTGCCGCGGCCGTCATTGGCCGCCAATGGCAGGCCGCTGCCGCCCGCCGGAGGCATTTTGCCGACGACAAGAAGCCCGACCCGACCAAGCCTGCAGTCCTGCCCGCATCAGAGACCATCACCGCTGAGAAGAGCGCCGCTCCCGAGCTCGCCGCCGCCGAGGCCACGATCCCCAAGACTGAGGTCCCTCTCACGCCCCCGACCCCTGCCACCGAGGCCGTCGCGCCTCCCCCTCAGACACCCGCCGCCGCCGCCCCGAAGAAGAAGGGCTTCTTCCGCAGACTGAGGAACCTCGTGCTCACCCTCGCTGTGCTCGGTGCTATCGGTTTTGGTGGTGGTGTCTGGTACTCCCGCGTCAACGACAGCTTCCACGACTTCTTCACCGAGTATGTTCCCTTCGGAGAGCAGGCGGTCCTCTACTTTGAGGAGATGGACTTCCGCAAGCGATTCCCCAACATCTCCAACAAGATCAAGTCGAGAGATACTGGCAGCCAGGTCGCGGTCCCCGCCCAGAGCGGCGCATCCTGGAGGGTAGCCGACAACGGTGAGCCTGCTGGCCGTCAGTCTAGTGCTGTTGACAAGGCCCAGGCTGCCAAGGTCGCCGCTGTCAAGGAGAAGCCCAAGTCCGTCGAGAAGAAGAAGAAGGCCGCCGAGCCCAAGCCTGCGCCTGCCGAGGCCAAGGTTGTCGCGCCGAAGCAGGAGGAGAACGACTTCAAGCCCCCCGAGGTCAACGAGCCTTCCCGCTTCCCCCCGATCCCGCCCATCGACGCTATCAAGATTGAGGACGCGACTGAGCCGGTTGTCCAGGACCTTGTCCGCATGCTCAACGACATCATCACCGTCATCAACGCCGACAAGGCTCACGGCCGCTACTCCCCCACCATCACCAAGGCCAAGAACGAGCTGAGCAAGGTTGGAAGCAAGATCAAGGCTATCAAGAGCTCCGTCGAGGAGAAGGCTGCTGCCGAGGTCCAGGCCAAGGTTGCCGACTTTGACAAGGCCGCCAACGACCTGATTGCCCGCGTCGAGGGCGCCATGGTTGCCCAGGAGGGCGCGTGGAGGAAGGAGTTTGAGGACGAGATGAAGAAGGTCAAGGAGAGCTACGACGCGCGCGCCAAGCTTCTCTTGGAGCGCGAGAAGCAGCTCAACGAGGAGCGCCTCAACAACCAGCTCCTCGAGCAGGCTCTGGCCCTGAAGAAGGAGTTCGTCACTGAGGTCGAGAAGCACGTCGAGTCGGAGCGCGAGGGTCGCCTGGGCAAGCTCGAGAAGCTGTCCGACGCCGTCGCCGACCTCGAGAAGCTCACCACCGGATGGAACGAGGTGGTCGACACCAACCTGCGCACCCAGCAGCTGCACGTCGCCGTCGACGCCGTCCGCGCCACCCTGGAGAACGCCACCTCGCCCCGTCCCTTCACCCGCGAGCTCGTCGCCCTGAAGGAGATTGCGGCCGACGACCCGGTCGTCAACGCCGCTATTGCCTCCATCAACCCCTCCGCCTACCAACGCGGCCTCGCCAACGCCGCCCAGCTGATTGACAGATTCCGCATAGTCGCCAGCGAGGTCCGCAAGGCCTCTCTGCTGCCCGACGAGGCTGGTGTTGCCAGCCACGCGTCGAGCTACCTCCTCAGCAAGGTCATGTTCAAGAAGCAGGGTCTGGCCGACGGCAACGACGTCGAGAGCATCCTGACGCGCACGCAGACATTGTTGGAGGAGGGCAACCTGGACGCCGCTGCCCGTGAGATGAACGGTCTGCAGGGCTGGGCGAAGACGCTGAGCAGAGACTGGCTCGGCGAGGTGAGGAAGACGCTGGAGGTCCAGCAGGCTCTTGATGTGAGTTTTTACTTTTCAGCTATGACATTGACACCAACTAACAATTCGACAGGTCATTGCGACAGAGGCGCGTCTGCAGAGCCTCAAGGTAGAATAATGGACGGGACACACAAACACTTTTTCTTTTGTGACGCGGTTGGCTCGTGAGGAGACTTAGAGAGCCTAGACCTCTGGTCTGTGTAAGACATAGCCATAGACTTGAATGAAGGCAGTGTATTCTATCAGCTGTACTCTGTAGTATTGTGATGTACGAGTATCTCATCCTAGCCTTAAGCCTATTTGATTACAAGAGGAAATGAGCCAAGCAGCATTCTTCCGCGAGCCGTCAACATTTGTCAATGCTTAGGTAGTTGAATCATGAGAAAAATCGAGTCTATCGATAACTCGGTCCAGCAGCCGGTGATCGGAAGTAACGCCGAGCATTGACTTTTTTCACAAGTTTGTATATAAGTACCTTTTTCCCTGGCAAGCTTCCAGTCCCAGCTCCAAGGGAGCGCGGGATGTGGGGCAACAGGTCCAAAACCCCCACCAACGAACGGCATTTGAGAGCCTGCTGCCCCTCCAGACGGGAGTCGAACATGCATCATGTCCCTCGTCGCATCGTACGCCTCGCCTGGAAAACGACGACGACGTTTACCAGCAGGAAACCTATGACCATAGGAGTTTTCGCGAGCACAAGGGGTGCTGTTAGGAATATGGCGGGACGGACGTATAATGTGAGTTCTTTCTTGCGCTGTTGAGCTCCGGGATCGGGGAGAGGGGAATACCCCGCGATGGAGGAGGACATGTGCAAAGGGATTCGGAGCGATGTGGTGAGGATGTTGGGACAGACCGAGCTGATTGATTTCCAGGATGCCGTCGACGCATTGAACACGCTGCAGACGCCCTTCGCCGTCATCGAGGCGCGGCGCAAGGCGGGCGTGCGGCCTGATGAAGCTTCCGTCAGGGAGATGAGGGCGTACCTCGCGCGGATCGGGTATACGGTGCGCATCCATCTTTACATTCCCAGATCGCAAACGGCCAGCTGACAGGACCTCGCCACAGACCGCAGACCTCGACAAGCTCAACGTAATCCACGTCGCCGGCACAAAAGGTAAAGGCAGCACCTGCGCCTTCACCGACTCCATCCTCGCCTCGCACCGCGCCATCTCCCCGTCCTCCGTCCCGCGCAAGGTCGGCCTGCTCATCTCGCCGCACCTCATCGCCGTGCGCGAGCGCATCCGGATCAACGGCGTACCCATCTCGGAGGCCCTCTTCGCCAAGTACTTCTTCGAGGTGTGGGACCGGCTGGGTAGCAGCACCGCGGACGCCGAGGGCGTGGCGCTCGGCACGCGGCCGATTTACTCGCGGTACCTGACGCTGGTGAGCTTCCACGCGTTTATTGAGGAGGGGGTGGACTGCGCGATTCTGGAGACGGGGATTGGCGGGGAGTATGACGCGACGAATTTGGTGGGACGGCCCGTGGCGACGGGGATCACGACGTTGGGGATCGATCATGTGTTTGCGCTGGGGGACACGGTGGGCAAGATTGCGTGGCATAAGGCGGGGATCATGAAGACGGGCAGTAGGGCGTTTACGGTTGAACAGGTGGACGAGGCGCAGGATGTGCTGGAGGAGCGAGCGGCGGAGAAGGGGGTGAAGTTGGAGGTTGTGAAGGTGGATGAGAGGATGAAGGATGTGAGGATACGGCCGGATAAGGAGTTTCAGCGGAGGAATGCGAGTTTGGCGGTGCGGCTTGCGGAGAGCGTGCTGGAGAGGCTGGAGGAGGGGTTTAAGCCGGACCCGACGCGGTTGCCGGAGGCGTTTGTGAAGGGGCTGGAGGAGGTTGTGTGGAGGGGCCGGTGCGAGGTGAAGGACGAGGGGAGCGTGGTGTGGTTCGTGGACGGGGCGCATACGACGGACAGTCTGAAGATGGCGGGGCGGTGGTTCGCCGGGGAGACGGAGGCGCGGAGGGGGAGGCGGTTGTTGGTGTTTAACCAGCAGGGCCGGACGGAGGCTATCGACTTCCTGGATGGGCTGTATGAGGCTGTGAAGAGGGACGGGAGGGGGTTTGATGGGGTTGTATTCTGTACGAATGTGACGTACAAGGAGACGGGGTACAAACGAGGTGAGTTGACATTCTGCTGGATGGGAGGTTGTTAGGATGTTTTGCTGAAGCCGGGCAGATTTCGTGAATCACCAGTACGATAATAAGGCTATCGAGGCCATGACGGTGCAGAAGCAGTTCGCGGAGCGGTGGAGGGAGCTGGATCCGCAGGCTGACGTGCGCGTCATCCCGACCATCGAGGAGGCCCTGGACTACGTCCGCGGCTTGGCGGAGAGCAACGGGGAGGGAGAGAGCGTGCAGGCCTTCGTCACGGGCAGTCTGCACCTCGTCGGCGGCGCGCTGCAGATTCTCGAAGGGGCGGATGCTCTTTGAGTACATCATACATCATGTCCGTATGAAAAGGCGTTTTACGTGGGGGGTTTCGGGGTTCAACATTACAGCGATTTTAGGTGCCATACCGGGTTAAGAAAAGGGAGGGAGGGAATCTATATACATCATTCCTCGCGGATTCAACTCTAGATTACTTTTTTCAAGGAGGTGCAGATCAATCAAAACTGGCTTTCCGGCTCCAGGAAGCCTATCAAGTTGCCGACCAGGTACATGCTCCCCGTCACGAGGACCTTCGTCGCTTCCTCATGAGCGGATGCGATCTCGTCCACGGCGGCCGTCATCTCGCCCAGATCCGCGCATACCGTCGTTTTCGTTTTGGGATACGCCGCCCGCAGCGCCTCGGCACACTTCTGCTGCACGCTCACATCCGCATCCTCGAGCCTGGCCTTATCATTTCGCGTGAAGATTGCGTGCGTGAGCTTCGCCTCCAAATCTACGCCGCACGTCTTCATCTCCGCCAGAAGACCCAGTAGCAGCTCCGCGGCGTCGCGCTCCTGCTGGTTGAAGGCGAGGACGAAGGGCGTGTTCGGGGATGTGATGAGCGGGGCGATCCAGGCGGCTACTTGCGCGAGGGAGTCGGCGTTGTGCGCGCCGTCGAGGTGGTATGAGACGCGCCCTTTGGGGATGATTTCGTGGCGCCCGCGGAGGTTTGCGTTCCGCAGGCCTGTGGTGATGCCCTCGGGGAGGTTTGTGAGGGAGGTGTCTGGGGGTATGGCGGTGTTCTTGGACTCGAGGACGCGGAGGTGGTGCCGTGCTGCTAGGGCCGCGAGAGTTTGGTTCCTCTTCTGGAACTCGCCGCCGGGGATCTTTGCGTCAGGCACACCAGGCCAGGAAGACACCTCCGCGTCGGGGACCTCGACCAGCGTCGCGCCGGTGGAGGCCGCGCGGTCCCGGAGGACGGCCATGACGCCCGGCTGGGCGTCGAGGGCGCGGGTGAAGGTGGCGACGCCGGGTTTCATGATGCCGGCCTTGTGCCATGCGATCTGCTCCGCGGTCGACCCGAGCATGGCGACGTGGTCGATGCCGAGCTGCGTGATCACAGACGCCGTGACGGATTCCGTCGGCAGGATGTTGGTGGCGTCGTGCTCGCCGCCGATGCCGCACTCGACGACGGCGGTGGACACGCCCTCGGCGAGGAAGATGCGCAGGGCGAGGAGGGTGAGGTAGCGGAAGTAGAAGGGCTTGGCGCCGGCGTCGATGCCGAGGGAGGGGTCGGCGGGGGCGGCGGAGAGGGTGTCCCAGAGGGCGAAGAAGTGATGCGCGAAGAGGGGCTGGGGGACGGGGAGGCCGTTGATGGAGATGCGCTCGCGGGGGTGCAGGAGGTGCGGAGAGGTGTAGGTGCCGATCTTTGCGGATGGGGGAGAGGAGGCGAGGAGGGCGGAGGAGGTGAGGGTTGTCACGGTGCCTTTGCCCTTTGTGCCGGCGATGTGGATGTAGGAGAGCCGGGAGAGGGTTGAGGGGGGCAGGTCTGCGCGGAGGAGCCAGGCGCGCATTTCGGGGATTGCGAGGGCGTTGGGGTCGGCGGGCGGTTTTGAGGGGGCATCTTTGTTTTTGGGAGAGTTGAAGAGGGCGTGGACTTTGAGGTTTGGGATGAGGGTGTTGAGGTGGTCGAGGGCGTCTTGGTACGTTCGTGAGGCCGACATGGTGGTGAGCGAGCGGCGGGTGAGGGGTTTGCCGGTTGAGGAGGAGATGAGCGGCGATGTGAGTAGGCGTATGAGACGGCTCATCGGGTGTTGACTAGAAGATGTCACCGGTCCCAGGGTAGCATGTTGTGTGCGTTGGATAGGTGGTTGAGTTAGGACGATTGAGGCTCAAATTAGGTTGGAGGGGTGAAGTGAAGCTTTGGAGGGGTAGAATGGTGTGTAACATTTGGGACGACGTTACGGCATTTTAGCGCCTTTTTGGCGCGTTTCCCCACGCGCTCCTGCGTCTGTCTCGCTTTGATCACTTGCAACATCCAACTTCAAGACATAAATCTCGCAGACTTGCTGAACGGCCTCATGGATAATTTCAACTACCCTCGTAGTTGAGCGACGACTCATGAACATAGTATATTCACTGGAGCATCTCCCTGACATTGACGAAAATCCGTGGAGAATGGCATCGGAAAGTTACTCACAACTTTGGCAGATTTTCTCCATTGAAGCCCTCCACAGACTGCGTCTAGACCTCGTACCGTTTGAAAATGGCAGCCGGATCCTTTTGATCACCATTCAACCCGACCGCCGACCGGTGAAGTTGGTCGGAACATCTCGAAATCTCCGGCCAGGGCGGCGCACCACCGCCGTTGCATCGGGAGGAGCTCGCTTCCAGAACCAAGGACCAAGGGACCCCGCAACTCCGTGACGCAGGGGTGGTGGTCCAATGCAACATTATGAAGAAGACCCCAATCCCTAATGAACCCGTGTTCTGTGTCCTGCAGTCTGCACATCTCACGGAATGACCACCGACAGGGAGCAGCGTTGTGCGAGCAACGGCGCCTCCGCCGCCCTGTCGTTGAGGCTATTCAGAGTCCGGATCCAGGCTCTTCCGCGCGGCCTCTGCAAGGCCCGTCGGCAAGGGAGCCAATATTGCCCTGTTTGGAGTATAGACGTGGCAAATCACCTTCTCCTTTCCCCCCAGCGAAGTTTGTCGAATCCACCTCTTCATATCGAGCGATAGGCATTCTCGCCCAACATCTAAACATCTAGGCGGTATCGGCTTCAGATCCGATGAAGACGAAAGGGAGAGAGATCATCATTAGCCAGAGGTCGGGTAGGGCTGCCGTCCCCCTTAAGACGGGATTTCCTTCAATGCCGCCTTTCCCTTGCTGCTATTTACAGCAAGGGCTGTCACCCCTGGTTTGAGGCGTCCAAGGCTGATCCCTCATCCCACGCACACGCCGTCCAAGGATCTGGGACGGTGAACGGACCTAAGCCCTGTAAGGCACGTTTCCACACATCTCTCTTTTTCCTTCTTTCATCTCAACTTTTATGGGCAGAAATAATGCAACGAATAACAGCTGCCGTCAATCCCACGGCATGAAAACACCATATGTGAAAGTTCACGATGCCGTGGACCCAAGCTCTCGGCGTCTCCTCAAAGCTTGCCCCAGACGCACGGAAATCCCCAGAAATTGGCACAAATCAACTGTCGACCGTTTCCCTCGTCAATTGACAGTTGCCAGAGAAGACTATCCCAGCGACAATTCCCCCGTTAATCAATCAAACCGCCCGGGCTGCCGGCGGGCGGAACTCGCGGGGAGACGGACAGACGAACAACAAGCGTTCGAATTCGTCACCGCCGCGCGACCCCCAATTTGCTTTCCGGAACATGGGAGGACCCTCCACGGGTTTGATCATCTCGACCAGTCGTCGCGCATTCTCCAGTCTCACATAGATGGCGGTTCATCTGGCAGCAGAGAGCCTGTCCGGGGTGTCACGACTCGCTTGCCTGGGCGACTGACTCGCCGGCCTGTTTTTTTCTGGTGATCTGGAAACCCGCCAAATGGGCTCGGGCTCGCCAAGACCAAACAGTCAAGAATGCGACGGCGCTGTTTCTGTTGGGGGCAGACTGCATGGCAAACGGGAAACCCAATGGCGTGCTCTCTCTTCTCTTGACTCTTTGTCAAACCAAGAAATGATCTCTTTTGTTTTCAAGGCCATAACATAGACATATTATCAACTGCCCACACTCGTTTCTACCACTCACGCCTATCACGAACCATTCATTCAACTTCTCTTCGACAAGGGCAGGCGCAGAGCGTCTTGCATTACGGCGCCGTACAGTAACTTGACTTGGGACCGAACCACCCACCAAATGGCTCGAACAATTTGGCGACACAGCGCCACGTCCTCGCCGTATGGGGACTCACCAACCGCGATGGGGAGGAACTCGACGGAGGCATCGCGGCGGGAGACGATCGGCCTCGAGGACATAACCGCACATATCCGGGCCTCGCACGGGGATGCCGCCGCCCCCCAACGGCCGTGGTCACGGAGGACGGACATGACGACGGATTTCTACGGCGCACGGAATAGCATCGACAGCGCGAGGACGGACGATATCAGGGACTGGCCGCGGTACGCCAAGATGGAGAAGGCCGGGTCCGCGTTCCCGTCGCCGCTGGGGACGAGCGTCTCGCAGACCAACTTCCTGCACCCGCCGACGCCGGACGCCATGGACAGCAGCGCCAGCGCGGCGTCGTTCGACCGCAAGCGCGACGAGTTCAACGACACGATACACCTGACGTCGAACGCGCCGCCGGGGGCCGAGGGGAGCAAGGCGGGCGGCAGCAGCTTCCTGTGGTTGACGTGGGCGCTGTGGCTGCTGGGCGCGCTGATGGTGACGCTGACGGGGCTGTACTCGACGGGGTCGGCCAAGGCGCTGATGAAGCAGAGCTTTTTCGTTGCGTCGCCGCAGAACTCAATTCTGCTGCTGCGCGTGCTGACGGAGCTCTGCGCGGTAGTGTTGGCGGCGCTGGTGGTTGTCGTGGTGGAGGATCTGCAGTGGGCTCTGGCCTCGAGGCCTGGGGGTGTGAGCTTGTTGCACTTTGTCGGATTGGACTCCGGGACGGGAGTGTGGGGGCTGTTGAGGCTTTTGGCTACGGCGGATTGGAAGGAAAAGTATTCGAGTTTGTTTCGGTGAGTGGTGATGGTGCTTGACTGAAGAGATGGCGTGCTGATAACGGACAGGTTGTTGGTTATTTGCTCGATTCCCCTACCTGGTATCATTCTCATGGGTAAGTCCTATATCAGACTAATACCATGAACTCATGCTGACATCCTGTAGGCGCCATCTCTATCGAAATGGTCACCTTCCCCGAGAAGACGTACCCAGTATCTGCCGGCATCGGCCCCTTTAATGCTTCTAATGTCTATCATGTCCGAAACTCCACGGCGACCGCTTTGCTGGTGCAGATGGGCAGTCCCGCGTGGTCCGACCGAGACTCCTTCTCTCTGGACCCCCTGACCAAGGGCGTCGGAAAGTGCACAGGGCCGGACGGTAACTGGGCGCCGTGTGATGAGTCGCATCTCCTCACTGGCGGCGTCGTCGCCATTGCCCCGCAAACGGACGACCTGAAGCAGCTCCCGGGGTCCGCCTCCTACGTTGTTCCCAAGACGAGAGTCGTCCAACTCGAGTATGGAAAGGTGCCGGATCTTGAGAACCTACGCAAGACCGGAAAGTGCTTCCTTCTCGGAGCCGCGAGCGCCGCGTCTTACTGGTGTACCAAGACCGGCGACAACAACGCACTCCTTTTCGGTAAGACTGCCATCCCATTTGCACATCGCAAGGATGCTAACATCTCACACCAGGCTCCGCATACTGCCCAATCTCCATGCAGGCCACGAGCTCCTGCATCAACGACACAACCTGGACCAGCAAGCTCGAAATCTCCTCCTCCCTCTTCGTCTACTCGCGCCTCGCCACCATCACCTACGACCGCGGTAACTTCTCCATCCTCGCCGTGACCGACATGACGCCCGCCAAGCAGGACATCGTCACCCTCGACGACTACATGCTCTCCCTCTCCGCCGTTGTGCCCGGCTTCAACGCGAGCAGCAGCCAGGACGCCACCAAGGGCGACAACTCGGCCCTCGCCATCTACGCCGTCACCGCCCTCCCCATCAACGACTCCGAGGTCGCCAAGAAGCAGTCCCTCAAGGCCATCCGCAAGGCCATGTCCGTGCCCTTCCACTACTTCCACGCAAACTACTTCTCCAGCGGCCCGTCTATCTGGGAGCTGACCGGCCCACGCGAGGGCCTGCCGGCGGACATGTACACCGACCTGTCCATCTCCGTGCTCAGCCACCAGGTCGTCGCGGGAAAGGTCAGCAGGGTGCTCTTCGTGCTCGTCAGTAGCACGATTCTGTGTCTGTCGGCGGCGATTATCGTGGCGACGTCGCGGGTGTGCGAGAAGAGGCCGGAGCGGTGCGGATACCCGACGCTCGACTTTGCGGCGGTGTGCGCCGTCCGGGGGATGCAGCCGGCGCCGGCGGGGTGGGACCAGGAGAGGCAGGACGGGACGGGCGGCCCCGGTACCGGACCTGGGGGTCCCGGGGGTGGCGGACACACATTGCACAAGAGCCTGACGCAGCTGGGGCAGAAGCCGAAGCCGTTTGACGTTGCAAAGAATATCAAGAACGACCGCGTAATAATCAGCTGAACGCACCAAAAGAAGAGAGATACCAATCAGATTTTAGACTTAGAATTAAAGAGTAATGAATTATGAGTTAATACCCTACCATTCAACGATTCAACCAAGCAGCTAACAACGATCTGTCATCCTTGAGCTTTGAAAAAGCGGCAGTAGCGACACCGGAGAGCCGCGAACTGCAAATGGCAAAGCGGCAGATCCAATCCGATCCCGACTGGACAATCAGGGCGTCAAGGATAAGGCATCGAATGCGGGGGGGCAACGTGGACGCGCGGGGAAGCCCCTTGCTTCCCGCTGCAAAGCGTCCGGTTCCTCCTTGGGTTGGCTGCGTCAGCCGTCCGATGTATGGTATGCTGCTTCTCTCTTGTGCATGTATCATGTATTAGTCTCGTCGCATCAGTGTCGTAAATACGACGGCAATGAGCACGTCTTTTTGAGGGAATGCTGCTGTGATTACCAAGCCATCTCCGGACTCTGGCTAGTGCCTGGTTAACGCGCCCTGAAGTG